TACCGTCTCTCCCAAGTTGGTTCCGATGTTAAAAGGGAGAATTCTTCAACTTACTGCTCCAAGCATAACAGCCTTTTTCTAGGAACTCAGCAGGGTGCCTCCTTACAGCAGAGAACCAATCGCCTCATTTGAGGAGGGGTGTTGTAGGCAGGGAACTCAGGCTATGACCAAATCCCTCGCAAGTTATACCAGGGTCAATACCCTTCGCTAGGTACATGTAACATTCTATCCATGGATAGATTAATATGCAGAAAGATCTGCTGAACATCTAGATATCAAAAATGCCATATTTTACTGTTCCAGCTAGAACTATATGGCTTGCTGCTCTCCTGTAGACTTCAACTAACGGTGTAAGATATCAGACGACTCACATTAAACTGAGCTATCCGAATATATACTTTATTTTTATGTAATTATTTCCTACCTTAAGATATGAAATCATAGGTAAAAGTGGGTTTTAAATGTGAGGCCTGTTTTACAGCTACCTAGGAATGCGTTTGAAGCCCAGTGAAGGACTGGTTTATGGCTTTACGATTATCTCAGATTGAGAAGCTAACAGACACCCGGGCACCAGCTAATTTGGGATTTATAACCATGAAGCTGTCCCACTGTGCCTGATTGCCTGTGCACTTCTGAACCCAGCACACAGGGACCACGTGCCACTCAACAGAGAGGGAGGGGGAAGCTGATTTGAAGTAGAAATTATACAAGATAGAGGGCCTTTGGCAAAATGGAGGTTTGCATCCATCTCTGTACGTACAATTGCTACATTTCCAACCGCATTCTCAGCGTCCATTAGTCACCCTGTGCCCTAAGAGACACAGGGTGACTTGCAGATAAGAGGGGAGCTGAGACAGGGGTCTCCCAACCTCTGCAAAGTAAGCTGGGTTCCAGGAGCCCCCCACCCAAAGTGACTCTCGTCACAATCATAAGTGAGCACTTCAGGAAAAAAGTGAGCTAAGAGATCTTTCAATCAATGCTGGGTGAAGGCTAGTTAATCCCTGCAGGGACTAAGGCCTAGTTTGTGATGTTCTGTTCAAAGAGCCCAATGAGCACTGCAGAAAATAGTAACTATGTACCTTAAGTTACTAGTGTGGACTCCTTCAAAAATGTGTGTACAGTGGAAACTGTAATGAGAGGTTATATGCCAGAAGAAGAGTGCATGCAATAACTAAAATGGTTATCACTCGTATAGGTTTTATAACTTTAGAAAATCTCAACACCATGAAGCAAATACTTGGTCGAATGGGGCCTGCCTTATTAGAGGGGTTAATGATCCACAACATGACCAGAGCCCACTTTAGGAATCAGGTCAGAATTTGATCATTTGGCTTGATTTTGCTTTCCTTTATTCTGAAATGTTTGCTAGTCTCTATTTCTCTCTGCTCCTACGTATTACCTGTTTTCTTGTATATGGCTGGTTTTGTGCCTGGCCCTATCTACACATGTGTCTCATCTGCTCTTTGCTTGTGACTATCTAGTAAGCAGCTAGCACTGGGCATGAATTGTCTTAGCTTAAAGGGTAACTTCACTTTTGTGAGAAAATGTATAAAAATATATATACAATTGTGTGTAATTTAATGTTATTAAAAAATACCTTTCTTTTTCAATCTGCAGTGCTGTACTTTTCTGAAAAAATGCAATATGGCTACCTGGAGATGTTCTGTACACAGATGTGTACAGAATGCCCCCCCCCCCCCCCCAGATATGTAATTTCCTGCTTGTATTATTGGCTCACTAATTTTCCCAGAATTCTGCACTAAGATACAAATCAGATTGTTAGCATCCCCTGCCACAAAATGTTAGTTTTAGTGAGATACTCCCTATGGGAAATCATATCTAAATATTCCTCAATAGAGCCCTGGAGGTGCAGCAGTTGATTGATAATTATTAAACCACTTCCAATAAATTCACTTTGCACATGGACACAGACAAACATCTTTCTTCAGAATAAAAAAAGGTGGGAATCTGTAACAAAGTTTTTTAAAATCCCTGCAATGTACATAGATCACCTACACAAGTGGCGTTACTCTTTAAGGCTGCCATACATGCCCAATTTTCTCTCAGCCTGCAGCTACCTGAATGGATAGGATGCAATCACTATTCGGACGATAATTTTCCACCTTGCTCAGTCTATTTTTAAATCAACTTTTGCCAAGCCAAGTGGTGCTTAAGGGCTACTCACAGCTCGAATTTCGGTTTATTCAGCAGGAATAGCCTAAAATTTGAGCCATCTATGAGGGCCTTCAGTCTATGTTGCCTGTCTTGACTCATTCTTCTATTTTTTTTCTCTGGTCTTGTCCTTCGGTTCTTCTAAGTGTTGCTCCAGACTTGACTTGTATTGACCTTTAGTGTCTGATCCTGTCTTACTATGCAGACCTGTCATCTGTATACTCTGGCCCCATAGTTAAAACTATTTCTGGTTATCTACCCTCAACCTTTCTGTAACATGTTCTGATCAAATTGATTTTATACTCCATCTGATTATCTCTGTATTATTACTTTTGCCAAGCGATCTGAGAGGCTGCATTCCTGGAGTTGTCTTGCAGCAAATTTCATCTCCACCACCTGTCGTGTGTGAGCTCAGGTGAGTCAATTCTGGAATCTGATCCTCTGTGAAAGCTCTTCACCACCTTCTGGAAGCTCTACACTGATCCCAATCCCACACTCCTGCTACCTGTCTTCAGAGATCCTAGAGTCTGAGCTACAGTCCTCACACTAATTCCTGGCATTCACTGAACAGGATCTCAAAACCCTGGGCCCAAAACAGCTATTTCAATGATACGTGGTGCCCATGACACAAGCATGTCTGTGCTCTAAAAAAAACCCATCATTACCGCTTTGCTATACAGAAACAATGATCCGTCATCAATTCCAACATTGCCATCAGAATGTTTCTTGAGATCTGTTGGCCAGAGGTGGGTTTAGCCATCATAATTTACCCATAGACATCACAAACTCAGAATTTTTCTTCTTCATGCAAACACATTGGACAACAAACCTTTATATAATAAAACTAGTACAGTTTTTGATTGTAAATTTATAGCAGTTTTGCAGCCTGTAGCCAACTGACTATAAAATATATTTATAAAATACTGAATACAAAATATTTAATTCTGGACTAAACTATGAACAGAACTATGATTTAATTGGTATTGCTGAATCTTGGCTTCATTCTTCACATGACTGGGCCATTAATATTCCTGGCTATGTTCTCTTTCGGAGAGACAGGGTAAATAGGAAAGGTGGTGGTGTCTGTATGTGAGAAGTAATCTCAGAGCGAGTGTGTCAGGGCTCCAGGGTATGACCAGAGGTATGTGAACTGACGCAGGAAAACGCAGGCTTCAGATATGTTTATAAACAATATAATTTATTAATACTAACAATACATAAACGCAGTGCAATACTAAAACATAAGACAGTGCAAACGAACCAAACCAAACCACCCACAGATAACAATACATACAATGCAAGCGTCGTCAGGCAGGCCGAGTCAATAACAATCGGGCAGGTAGGAACAGGAGGAGCAGGCAGAGAGTAGTGAGGTCACGAGCCGGGTACAGCAACTAACGGGCAGGTAGGTACAGGGGGTCAGGCAGAGAATGGTCGGGGTCACAAGCCAGGGATCAAAAACAAGTCAGGCAGAGGCAGGAATCAGGAACAGGAACAGGAATGCAGGTAACAAGATACAGGGGCCCAGGAAAAACACACACCAAGGTACAGATTGCAAGTCTGGCCATCCCTTAAATACACCTGCATAATCAGCTTCAGGTGTTTGGCTGGCTGCAGGGTTGAGTCTCTGATTGCTGAGAGCACCCGCTGGCCAGCCCTGGTACTGCAGCCCACAAGGCAGGTGAGTCCCACCATTACTGGCAAGTCCATTCCTGACAGTACCCCCCCTCAGGACGCTCCAAACAGTCCTAGCTGGGCAAAATGTTCCACCGCCCGGGTCTGGTAACTGGCGGGATATCAAAGACTGGCACATCGGGCAGGACTCCGGGCAGCGGCACATCGGGCAGGACTCCGGGCAGCGGCACATCGGGCAGGACTCCGGGCAGCGGCACATCGGGCAGGACTCCGGGCAGCGGCACATCGGGCAGGACTCCGGGCAGCGGCACATCGGGCTGGACTCCGGGCAGAGGCACATCGGGCTGGACTCCGGGCAGAGGCACATCGGGCTGGACTCCGGGCAGAGGCACATCGGGCTGGACTCCGGGCAGAGGCACATAGGGCTGGACACCGGGCCACCAGGCGGAGCAGCAGGCACCGGGCCACCAGGCGGAGCGGCGTGCGCCGGGATCCCTGGCGGAGCAGCAGGCACCGGGCCACCAGGCGGAGCGACAGGCATCGGGCCCCCAGGCGGGGTGCCGGGCCCCTAGGCGGAGCGGTGGGCGCCGGGCCCCCAGGATGGGCGACAGGCATCGGGCCCCCAGGCTGAGCAGCGGTCGCCGGGCCCCCAGGCGGAGCGGCGAGCGCCGGACCCCCAGGAGGGACGGCAGGCACCGGGCCCCCAGGCAGAGCGGCGGGCACCGGGTCATCAGGCACGACAACGGGCATCGGGTCACCAGGCATCAGGTCATTTGGCTCGCCAGCGGGCACCGCGTCATCTGGCAAGGCAGTGGGCACCGAGTCACCAGGCACGACAGTGGGTTCCGAGTCAACTGGCATGACCACGGGCACTGGGTCAGACATTGGATTGTCTGGCTCGACAGCGGGCATCGGGTCACCAGGCATGAGGTAATTTGGCTCGACAGCGGGCACCGCGTCATTTGGCAAGGCAGTGGGCACCGAGTCACCAGGCACGACAGTGGGCTCTGAGTCAATTGGCACGACAGCGGACACCGGGTCATCAGGTACCGGATCGTCTGGATCGACAGCGGGCACCGGGTCATCTGGCGTTGGATCGTCTGGCTCGACAGCGGGCATCGGGTCACCAGGCATGACAGCGGGCACTGGGTCACCAGGCATCAGGTCATTTGGCTCGCCAGCGGGCACCGCATCATCTGGCAAGGCAGTGGGCACCGAGTCACCAGGCACGACAGTGGGCTCCGAGTCAACTGGCATGACCGCGGGCACTGGGTCAGACATTGGATCGTCTGGCCCGACAGCGGGCATCGGGTCACCAGGTATGACAGCGGGCACTGGGTCACCAGGCATCAGGTCATTTGGCTCGCCAGCGGGCACTGCGTCATCTGGCAAGGCAGTGGGCACCGAGTCACCAGGCACGACAGTGGGCTCCGAGTCAACTGGCATGACCGCGGGCACTTGGTCAGACATTGGATCGTCTGGCCCGACAGTGGGCATCGGGTCACCAGGCATGACAGCGGGTACTGGGTCATCAGGCAGTGGATCGTCTGGCTCGACAGCGGACATCGGGTCACCAGGCATGACAGCAGGCACTGGGTCATCAGGTACCGGATCATCTGGATCGACAGCGGGCATCGAGTCAACTGGCCTAATGGAATCATCAGGCTGGGTAGAGACATCAGGCTGAATGGAGACATCAGGCTGAATGGAGGCATCAGGCTGAATGGCGGCATCAGGCTGGGTAGAGGCATCAGGCTGAATTGTGGGCGCCGAGGCACCAGGCTGCACCACGGAAGGTAGGTTCTCAGATGGGAGGCTGACTGGTTTGGATACTGGCAGGATGGTATTGGTTGGAAAGAACTTTCGCCTTTTCCTGGTTTTAGTTACCGAAGCACTGTAAGTAAGCGCAGGTTTGTAAACGGATGGAGCAACTGGAGACAGAGAAGAGCTGGAGGATGGAACAGGGGAGGGAACAGTTGCTACAGAGGGCTTCTTTACAGGGTTAAAGGCAGGATAGGTGCAGCGAGTGGGAACAGGGTACTGACATGCGGTAGATAGCAGGGTATACTGGGCTGTAACTGGAGGTGCTGTTGGGAATGCAGGAATAAAGCTTTGAAGAAATAGATTAGAAGCAGGACTGGGTTTTTGCAAGCTGACTGAGGCTGGGTGTGCAACAAGTCTGACCATGTCTGCAGTATGGGTTGAACAAAGCTCCGCTTACACAAAGCCTGTCTGACCAAAGACTGCACTGCGTTTATACAATCCCTTAATACCTGTGGTGAACATGCAGCATAATGCTCCAAGAAGCAATCCACATCATCCTCTAATAACCATACCAGGGACTCTACCTGGTCTGCACTAAATGGTGGCAAAAAGTCATTCCTGCTTTCAGGGGTACCAGATGAAGCCAACTCTACACAAACCTGAATCAAAGGTTGCACCTCAGAGAACTCTGTGTCCTGATCTACTAGAACATGAGCGATCCGTATACATTCTAGCAGTTGATCCCGGGTATACTCCCTCAGAGCCTGATAAGCATATTCTCTGTCATCAAAAACCAGCAGCGACAAATACACAACCTCATCAAGATCCATCCTTCCCAGCAACAAGCCAAGATGGCTTCCCTGTGCAGCCACTTCTGGTCAGGATTGGCCTTGGTGTAATGTCAGGGCTCCAGGGTATGACCAGAGGTATGTGAACTGACGCAGGGAAACGCAGGCTTCAGATATGTGTTAAACAATATAATTTATTAATACTAACAATACATAAACGCAGTGCAATACTAAAACATAACACAGTGCAAACGAACCAAACCACCCACAGATAACAATACATACAATGCAAGCGTCGTCAGGCAGGCTGAGTCAATAAAAATCGGGCAGGTAGGAACAGGAGGAGCAGGCAGAGAGTAGTCAGGTCACGAGCCGGGTACAGCAACTAACGGGCAGGTAGGTACAGGGGGTCAGGCAGAGAATAGTTGGGGTCACAAGCCAGGGATCAACAACAAGTCAGGCAGAGGCAGGAACAGGAATCAGGAACAGGAATGCAGGTAACAAGATACAGGGGCCAAGGAAAAACACACACCAAGGCACAGACTGCAGGTCTGGCCATCCCTTAAATACACCTGCATATTCAGCTTCAGGTGTTTGGCTGGCTGCAGGGTTGAGTCTCTGATTGCTGAGAGCAACCGCTGGCCAGCCCTGGTACTGCAGCCCACAAGGCAGGTGAGTCCCACCATTACTGGCAAGTCCATTCCTGACAGAGTGTGAAAGAGGACCTAGTTGATGGAGAGTATGATAAGGCTGAAGCATTATGGGTGGAACTGCACATGGGGTGCCTACTACAAAGGTAATCATTGGAGTTTGTTATATGCCTTCCAGTGTTAATGAGGAGGTGGAGACTCAGCTCCTTGCACAAACCGAAAGGGCTGGGACAGTGATATTAATGGTGGATTTTAACTACCCGGATATTGACTGGAGTAATGGTACTGCAGGAACAGTTAAAGGTCAAACATTTTTTAAACCTACTACAGGACAATTTTATGGTACAATTCATAAAGGCCCCAACTAAGAATGATGCTCTGCTGGACCTGGTGATCTTAAAAATTGCAGAGTTTATTATGAATATCCATATAAAAGAACATTTGGATAGCAGTGACCATAACATGATTTCATTTATTGTTAGCTGTAAACCGCAAGCACATACAGGAAAAATAAAAACGCTCAATTTTAAGAGAGCTAATTTTCCAAGGCTGAGAGCTGCTCTCCAGGACTTAGATTGGGATGGAATATTGGTATCAATGAACACAACACAGAAATGGGAGTTCTTCAAAAAGACTGTATGTGAACATACTGCAAAATATATTCCCATGGGGAACAAGTTTAAAAGGCTAAAAATCAAACTTATGTGGCTTATGGCCAAAGTTAAAAAAGCTTTAGATAATAAGAAAAGGGCTTTTATTAAATATAAAAATGAAGGAATGCTATCATTGTTTAAACATTACAAAGACTATAACAGAATATGCAAAAAGGAAATGAAGGCTGCAAAAATTGAAAACGAACGACAGATTGCAAAAGATAGCAGGACCAACCCCAAAAAATTCTTCAAATATATTAATGGTAAAAAGGTCCAGTTCAAGCATGTAGGCCTTTTACAAAATAATCTAGAGTGGGTGACTGGGGACAAAGAAAAGGCAAACTTATTAAATACCTTCTTCAGCTCTGCGTATACAAAGTAGCATGGGGGAGCTCTTGTCCATAATGGGCATGGTATTGAAACAGCCCCAGATCCACATTAGCTCACAACTGATATGATCCAGAAATATTTAGACAGTATAAAGGTGAATAAAGCACCTGGACCGGGTGGCATACACCCACGGCTCCTCAAAGAATTGAGCTCTGTCATTTCAAAGCCATTGTTTCTAATTTTTAGGGACTCTTTATTGACTGGAATAGTACCACTGGATTAGCGTAAGGCCAATACGGTGCCAATATTTAAAAAGGGGTCAAAATCTTTACCAAGTAGTTATAGACCTGTTAGTTTAACTTCTATAGTTGGGAAGATACTGGAGAGTTTAAAAAAAGGCCATATAGATAGTGTTGACAGAGAACCTCCTGCGTTGCCAATCCTGAAACCAGAAACAAAACAGAGTGACTGCTAACACCCAGGGGCAGACTGACCATTTGGAAACTCGGGCACTGCCCGAGGGCCCGGGGTCAGTAGGGGGCCCCATGAGATGCCCCTGGCACCCTTTTCATAGGCTTTTTTGAGTTTGGGCAAGGACACAGGGGCCCATGATCCCCTATTGCCCGGGGCCCCATGAGTTGTCAGTCCACCCCTGCTAGCACCGAACTAAACTACCAGAATAGTGAAAAAATTAACAAGGGGAATGGTGCTGCACTACCCAAACCCAATATATAGGTGAAAAAAAATATATAGCATATTATGTGAACACATAAAGAAGTGGATTATGAACTAACCCTAAATCTTGTGAATCAAAAACAATGAGGTGAACATAATAAAATAAGAATCATACATGTAGTGACAAAAGGATGAAAAATCAGCAGGGGAAAAGTGAACAATTATAAATGGAATAAGCTCAATGCAGTGAATATTACAAATCCTCTTGACCTAATAGTGAATGCAACCAAAAAATCTAATATATGAAGTGATTAAATAAAATAAAAATCAAGGTACTAAAACGTCTTGAATCACATGACATGAAAAACCAAATGTGCAAAAAAACAGTGAAAAGACGACAATGTGACCAAAAACAATATTAATGTGCACAGTCCAAAAACAACTCTGTGTTCATTCAATCGGTGACAATGTCCGGTGATCACTCCAACACATGAATCCGACACCTGAGGAAGTCACGTGATTTGTGACATAATGCATAGGGCGGAAGTGTGGTGATGTAATTTTCCGGCGCGGACGGCAGCCGCCATCTTGGTACACCCTTGTGTGTTCTCTGCAGAATTTATGCTTGTGGGTCTGCAGACTCTGTGTTTGTTTTTCCTTTTTTAACCTTCGTTATGGGGACCAGCTTGAGAGGAGATTGGCTGATTACCTTTGTAAAGGGGTTACCACCAATATTGGTACAGTTCCTGGATTACTGCCAAATGTACAGATATGATTAGGATCAGTCTGCTGAGCGCTACATTGAAGTGTGTTGACCTCTGGGAGTCGCAGCATGGAGGTGAGCGTGCATGCTAGTCGGTGGCAGATTCGTGTGTTGGAATGATCACCGGACGTTGTCACCGATTGAATGAACACAGAGTTGTTTTCGGACTGTGCACATTAATATTGTTTTTGGTCACATTGTCATCTTTTCACTATTTTTTTACATATTTGGTTTTTGTATGTCATGTGATTCAAGACATTTTAGTACCTTGATTTTTATTTTATTTATTCACTTCATATATTTGATTTTTTGGTTGCACTCACTATTGTGGTCAAGATGATTAGTAATATTTACTGCATTGAGCTTATTCCATTTGTTTGTTCACTATTCCCCTGATGATTGTTCATCCTTTTGTCACTACATGTATAATTATTTTATTATTTTCACCTCATTGTTCTTGATTCACGAGATTGAGGGTTAGTTCATAATCCACTTCTTTAATTGTTCATATAACATTCTATATATTTTTTTCACCTATTTGTTGGGTTGGGATAGCGCAGGACCATTCCCCTTGTTCACATAGATGAGTTCTTGCTGGAAAAAAATATTTTAAGCAATAGACAGCATGGTTTCATGAAAGACAGAAGTTGTCAAACAAATCTGATTTCTTTTTATGAGGAGGTGAGCAAAACCTTGGACAGAGGAGTGGCTGTGGACATGCTATACTTGGATTTTGCAAAAGCATTTGACACTGTTCCCCATACACAGCTAATTTGTAAAGTAAAGTCTACAGGCTTAGACAAATCTGTATGTAAATGGATAGAAAACTGGCTAAATGATTTTATTCAGAGAGTAGTGGTTAATGATTCATATTTTGAATGGTCTAGGGTTGTCAGTGGTGTACCCCAGGATTCAGTGTTGGGACCCTTACTTTTTAATATATTTATAAACGATATAGGGTCTGGGATTAAAAATACCATTTCAGTCTTTGCAGATGAAACCAAGCTGTGCAGTGGAATAATGTCCTTACAGGATGTCTCCATCCTACAAGACGACCTCAATGCACTGTTTAATTGGGCATCTATGTGGCAAATGAAGTTTAATGTTGATAAATGTAAGGTTATGCACTTGGGGGCTAAGAATATGCATGCATCATACATACTAGGGGGAGTACAACTGGGGGAATCAATGGTGGAGAAGGATCTGGGAGTTCTGGTAGATCACAAGCTTAATAATGGCATGCAATACCAAGCTGCGGTTTCTAAAGCGAGCAAAATCCTCTCTTGTACTAAAAGATCTATAGACTCCAGAGAGAGAGATATCATATTACTCCTGTACAAATCATTAGTAATACCTCATCTGGAATATGCAGTTCAATTTTGGGTACCAATTCACAAAAAGAACATTGGGGGACTGGAGAAAGTACAGAGAATGAAACTGACACAAGGCATGGAGGAGCTCAGCTATGAAGAAAGATTAGAGGAGCTGAATTTATTCTCTCTTGAGAAGAGGAGATTAACCACTAGCCTACAGGGCACTTATACCCCCTTCCTGCCCAGGCCAATGTCCAGCTTTCAGCGCTGTCACACTTTGAATGACAATTGCGTGGTCATGCAACACTGTACCCATATAAAATTTTTATCATTTTTTTGTGACAGATAGAGCTTTATTTTGGTGGTATTTAATCACTTTTGGTTTTTTTTATGTTTTTCTTAAACCAAAAAACACTGAAAATTTTGAAAAAAAAGTTTTTTTCTTAGTTTTTGTTATAAAATTTTGTAAATAAGTGATTTTTCTCCTTCACTGATGTGCGCTAATGAGGATGCAGTGATGGGCACTGATAGGCTGCACTGATGGACACTGATAGGTGGCACTGATGGGCACCGATGAGGAGGCACTGGTAGGTGGCACTGATGGGCATTGGCAGGCATCACTGATGGGCACTGAAAGGCAGCACTCCTATATGGCACAGATAGGCAGCACTGATAGGAAGCACTGACTGGCACCGATAGGCGGCACTGACTGGCACTGTTAGGCGGCACTGACTGGCACTGATAGGCGGCACTGTTTGGCAGCACTGATAGGTGGCTCTGACTGGCATTGATAGGTGGCACTGATGGGTGACACTGAAAGGCAGCTCAGATGGGCACTATGTGGCATTGATGTGCACTGGTAGGCACTGATGGGCACTGGCAGGTGGCATGGATGAGCACTGACAGCTGGCACTGATGGACACTGACAGGTGGCACTGCTGGGGCTACATAGATCATCAGGGCACACTGATCATCAGTGCCCCGATGATCAGTGTACATGTCCCTTCTGAGGGATGCCGATTACTGGCTCTGCTCTCCTCTCGAGATGTCAGCGTGACAGCTCGTGAGAAGAGAAATGCCGATAACCGACATTTCCCTATTTACATATGATCAGCTGTGATTGTACACAGCTGATCATATGACCGAACTGACATCTTCGGCTCTTTCCGTCGATCGGTGATCTGCTGTGTCCGAGGGACACAGTTCCCACCACCAATCGCCGCGATGCGCGCTTAGAATGGGACTACGTCATATGACGTCCTCCAAGAACGAGAGAACCGCCTTGCGCCCGTCATTTCACTATATGGCGGGCGGGAGGCGGTTAAGGGGGGATATGATCAACATGTATAAATACATCAGTGGTTCATATAGTGAACTCGGTGTAGAGTTATTCACCCTGAGGTCATCACAGAGGACAAGGGGGCAAACTTTACGTCTGGAGGAAAAGAAATTTAATCTCCAAACACGGAAAGGTTTCTTCACAGTGAGAGCTGAGAAAATGTGAAATAGACTCCCTCAAGGGTTGATTCTGGCCAGCTCATTGGATTGCTTTAAAAAAAGCCTGGATTATTTCTTGGATACACAGAATATAACTGGATACTAACATTTATAGGTAAAGTTGATCCAGGGAATATCCGATTGCTTCTTGGGGGATCAGAAAGGAATTTTTTCCACTGCAGGAGCAAATTAGATCATGCTTTGCTGGGGTTTTTTTTTGCCTTCCTCTGGATCAACTGTGGCTGTAGGATTATAACTTTTTTTTTTATTATTATTATTATTATTATAATTTTTTTTTTAATGGTTGAACTGGATTGACTTTTTTGTCTTTTTTCAGCCAGACGAACTATGTATCTAAGCTTGACCTGACAAGTCTCAGAATAGGGGAAAAGAGAAGGCAGACAAAAGTTGTTGTATTTGCAAAATCACTTGGTACCACTTAATATATTAAGTCTTTTTAAAAAGCCTGCTTACACTTTAAAGCAAACCTGTCACAAACCTGAGAATGTCGACAACTTCAAAAAAGTATACAGGGCTATGGAAATTCTTAGAAAATAAAAAGCACATACAAAAATACACAAATAGGTTGAACTGGATGTACCTGTGTCTTTTTTTCAACCTTATATAAACCAGGGGTAGGCAACCTTTGAGGAAATCTACCTGAACATGGAAGAGCACTCTTTCTTTAAAAAAAATAAATTAAATATCAATTCCCCAATAAAAAGTAAGGATAGCGTGGGAACCTTAGTCAAATCTAAATCTGTTAATATATGAACTTATTTCGTGTCTTGAGAGTAATTGGTTACTTTGGTTAAAGGCAAATCACCTTAAAGCCAGATCAACTGGTACTACAGGCTGACTTACTTGAATAGTTTCAGGCCTGGCTGCTCTGAATTCTGGCCTGACAGGCTGGGTTGAGTTCTGGCCAGTGTAGGTGTAAGCCATGTACCGGGGTGAGCTCCCCAGGATACAGTTAAGTCACGAACGAGGAAAGCAACCTCAACACCAGATTTTGCCACGACAGAATTTTACTTCGATGTGGCTAATAAACACAACCACAAATGCTGGAAACATACAATAAATTTACATACACCCAGCCCAAAGCCCCTTGTGCTGCACAGCATGGCGCCTTCTGATGGATGAAGGTAGAAAGTGAAGTAATTTACCTACTGGCTGGCACAAATAAGCTGCCACACCTTACCATTTACAGTTGTGGCCAAAATTATTCAACCCCCACTGAAATTGAGTGTTTTGGCCAGTTTGACATTGCTTTTGATCATTCAGTCATCTTGCTTACATTTACATTAAAGAGGCACTTGTAGGTCAGACAAATAACATAACAGTTTATAATGAAATAACCACAAATGTCTTTTCTGTGCTCACAGCATTATCAGTTTTATTCAACCCCCAAGTGACATTCAATCTTAGTACTTAGTACAGCATCCTTTTACAGTTATAACAGCTTTTAAACGTGAAGCATAGCTTGACACAAGTGTCTTGCAGCGATCTACGGGTATCTTCGCCCATTCTTCATGGGCAAAGGCCTCCAGTTCAGTCACATTCTTAGGCTTGCGCACTGCAACTGCTTTCTTTAAGTCCCACCAGAGGTTCTCAATCGGATTTAAGTCTGGTGACTGCGATGGCCACTCCAAAATGTTCCAGCCTTTCCTCTGCAACCATGCTCTAGTGGACTTGGAGGTATGCTTGGGATCATTGTCCTGTTGAAAGGTCCAACGTCTCCCAAGCCTCAGGTGTGTGACGGACTGCATCACGTTTCCATCCAATATCTCCTGGTACTGAAGAGAATTCATGGTACCTTACGCTGAAGCTTCCCTGTACCTGCAGAAGCAAAACAGCCCCAAAGCATGATTGACCCTCCACCATGCTTCACAGTAGGCAAGGTGTTCTTTTCATCATAGGCCTTGTTCTTCCTCCTCCAAACATAGCGTTGATCCATGGGCCCAAACAGTTCTAATTTGTTTCATCAGTCCACAGAACACTATCCCACAACTTTTGTGGTTTGTCCACATGGCTTTTGGCATACTGCAGTCGACTCTTCTTATTCTTTGGAGACAGCAAGGGGGTACGCCTGGGAGTTCTGGCACGGAGGCCTTCATTACGCAGTGTGCGTCTTATTGTCTGGGCTGAAACTTCTGTACCCACATCTGACAAATCTTTTCTCAGTTCCTCAGCAGTCACACGGGGACTTCTCTCCACTCTACGCTTCAGGTAGCGCACAGCAGTCGAAGTCAGCATCTTCTTTCTGCCACGACCAGGTAGCGTTTCAACAGTGCCCTTTGCCTTGAATTTGCGAATGATGCTTCCTAAGGTGTCTCTTGGTATGTTTAACATCTTTGCAATCTTCTTATAGCCATTGCCCTTCCTGTGAAGAGAAATCACCTCTTCTCTTGTCTTCCTGGACCATTCTCTTGCCTTCACCATGTTTGTAACCACACCAGTAAATGTCTAGAAGGAGCTGAGTATCACAGTCATTTTAAAGCTGCCTAATGGTGCTTATTATGCTTGATTGCTGCTCGGTGACATCCACAGGTGTTTTCAATACCTGATGGAAAGCACCTGTATGAACCTCTGTTCTTCAGAGTGGTAGTCTTTAAGGGGTTGAATAATTGTGGCAATGAAGAAACCACATAAGAACCATTTACTACTGTATTACATAAACAATTGATGTCATTTTAGTTGCATTTGGGTAGTTACAACGTCCTTGTAGGATTTGATTCTGAATACAATTCCAAATGTACACTATAGTCCCTAAACCCCTTTACAGCATTGGGGGTTGAATAATTTTGGCCACAACTGTATTACCCTAAAAGAGCAGGAATCAGTGTATTGGTGTATGGTATGGGCTAGCTTGCGGTACAGCACAACAGCTTACAATCTTAAACAAATCTACAGTATTCCCCCTCCCATAACTGGTCCTGTAGCACGTGCCTGAGTATTCCTTCTGAGCAAAACGCCAGTCTGGCTTGAGTTTGTAGGATTTTATCAGCTCTCCAATGTGAAATGTTACTTTAAGTTGTGGAGTCCTTCCAATAATCAGTAACAACACTTGTGGCCTGACACAAATAGAGACCCTAACTAACTAACTATAGGCTGGATTCAGTCTCAAGGCGCCAACACTGAAATGAGGTGCGTGCACAATCTTACCGACCCGGGTCTGCTTTGTATCCGCTGGTGACTCTGAACAGAACAAATGTCTCTCCAACAGGCCTGCGATATTGTAGTGTATGCTGCGTTGTTCCTCGGCTCTCATCAGCTTCCTGGCAGCAATCTCATCAGCTTCACCCAGCTGCAGCTCACACGGCCCTTTCATTCAGCATTCTCTGGAACATGGCTCCTGCATTCAGCATTGTCCAAAACATGGCTGCAGTCTCCTCTTCCTGTTCACTAAAAACCCCACCTCTTCATGAATATACAAATATCTATGCAGTCTGAGCCTGTGTTAGAAAAACAGTGACATCTTGAGGCTAAACCGCAGAATGTCAGTCAAAACATCAATTTACTCCACACCATAATTTACTGCACACAGTGTTCAAACAATGAGAGCTGTTTCCCCATCTCACATAGGCAAAATGTAGGGCACTGTACAGGTGTCATTAGTATATAGAACAGTATACAGAGGTCAGTAGTAAATAGGGAAGAGGTCAGTATGTAGGGCAGTGTAAAGAGGCTAGTATGTAGGGCGGTGTACAGAGGTAATCAGTATGTAAGGCAGTATACAGAGGTCATCAGTATGTAAGGCAGTGTACAGAGGTCATCAGTATGTAAGGCAGTGTACAGAGGTCATTAGTATTTAGGGGAGTTTACAGAGTTTAGTAGTAAATAGGGCAAAGTAGTGAAGTCAGTATGTAGGACAGTGTAGAGAGATCAGTAGTATGTAAGGCAGTGTACAGAGGTCAGTAGGATGTTGAAGTTTACAGAGGTCAATAGTATGCAGGACTGTGTACAGGGGTCATTTGTATGTAAAGCAGTGTACAGGAATCATAAGTACTGTATTTAGAGCAATGTATAGGCAGTGTGCAAGGGGCAGTAGCTTGTAGAAGGGCAGTGCCCTGGGGTCGGCTACAGGAGGCATGTATGAAGGGAGTGCAGAAGTCAGTAACATGTAGGGCAGTGTAGAGAGATCAGTAGTATGTAGGGCAGTGTAGAGAGGTCAGTAGTATATAGGGCAGTTTTCAGAAGTCAGTAACATGTAGGGCAGTTTTCAGATGTCAGTAGTATTTAGGGCAGTGTTCAGAGGTCAAGTAGTATGTAGGACAGTGTTCAGAGGTCATCAGTATGTAAGACAGTGTACAGAGGTCATCAGTATGTAAGGCAGTGTACAGAGATCAGTAGAAAGTAGGGGAGTGTACAGAGTTCAGTAGTAAATAGGACAGAGTAGAGAGGTCAGTATGTAGGGCAGTGTATAGAGATCAGTGGTATGTAAGGCAGTGTACAGAGGTCAGTAGGATGTTGGAAGTTTACAGAGGTCAGTAGTGTGTAGGACTGTGTACAGGGGTAATTTGTATGTAAAGCAGTGTACAGGGATCATAATTATTTAGAGC